TTCTTTGAATCCTAATTAACATTCGTTTTTCCCTGGATGCTCAACTACCACAAATCTAGCTCGTTTCACGACGCGATTCCCCCCCCCCCCCCCCCCCCCTATTTCTCAGAGAGGACAGGTTGACGTTAGGGAGCCTTTATGTGCGCGCGTCTCCGTGTAGACGAGCTCGCATGAAGGCTCCCTAGTTGACGTAGTCTACCGTGGCCTGAGCAATGCTTTCGAAGTAGTCAGCCACTCACTATCTTTAGTTGAACTTGCAAACATTGATGTTGACTCGTCTGTTGAGAATCTCCTGCACAGCTATATACTTAGTAGATCATGTTAAGTGGCCGGAAATGGCCAAACGTCTTCCTTGTACAAAGTTACTAGTGGGGTTCCTCAAGGGTCGGTATTAGGAACACTCTTATTCTCAATTTATGTTAACGATAATTCTTCAGCTATTTGTTATTCTTCATTTCTCCTGTATGCTGATGACATCAACATATTTATTGAAATTTAGTTAACGACTGTCGCTTGCTGCAGTCAGATTTGTGTTCTTTGCTAAATTTTTCTGCTCATAATAAATGTGCTGCGATGCGTGACCTTCGTTCTCTTGGCTACGTTTGTAGAATCTCTCTAGAATTCAGTTCTCCTACAGCCTTCCACAAATTGTACACCCCAATATGTCTTCCTCAATAAACAATTGTATCGGGCCAGTTGGTAAGAATCCATCTTGCTAGGAAGCGCAGCCACTATTACAAAGAACACACAACGCAAGCGCTTGTGTTGTGTGTTCTTTGTAATAGTGGCTGCGCTTCCTAGCAAGATGTCTTCCTCAACTTGAATGCGTCTAAAATGGCATTGCTAAATCTAACAGTGACTCCATTGAGCGAGTACAGAAGAAAATAATAAGCATTTATAACCATCGTTTTGCTAGAAATCACTCTGGGCCTCGTTCTAACACTGGCAGATTATTATTATTATTGTTATTGCCATCAATTTATTGCCAATGGAATTGAGATGACTTCTTATTTATTTACAAACTGGTTCACGGTATGATATCCTGCCCTTTGCTTCTGAAATATGTAAATTTTCGCATTGAGCGCAAGTTAACCAGAGAGAATCGACCATTCTATGCACTATAAATGAAACCCGAACAGCGGCAAGCCTTCGTGATGGTATAGTGCACCGCCATGCACTTATTACCTCGAACAGGCACGCTAATATGCGCAGAGCTTCCAAACAGCATGCGTGCGCCTGTCATTCGTGATAACTGAACGGCGCGCACCATATACCATCGCCAAACCTTGCCGCTGTTCAGGTTTAATTTGATGCTGATAGTACTTGGCAACTTCTTTCAACACTGTACTGTTGATTGATTGATATGTGGAGTTTAACGTTCCAAAACCACTACATGATTATGACAGACGCCGTAGTGGAGGGCTCCAGAAATTTCGAGCACCTGGGGTTCTTTAACGTGCACCTGAGCACACGGGCCTACAACATTTCCGCCTCCATCGGAAATGCAGCCGCCGCAGCCTGGATTCGATCCCGCGACCTGCGGGTCAGCAGCCGAGTACCTTAGCCACTAGACCACCGCAACACTGTACTGTTCACAGAATGAGAAGTTTATATAATGTTAACTTTCATGATTTTGATGTTTTCATAGTCCACTGTTATTGCTTTCATCGCAACTCTGTACTGTCTTAACATAGTTTTTCACAATGTACAGATTCTTCCCTATCCGTCTTTCAGAAAGGTTTCTACACAGTTGCGTACATTCCCCTTTGTTTTTTGCTCCCCTTCCCTAATTCTCTTCTTGTCTTCCCATTTTGTGCTGTTGTCTGTTTGTCTGTGGTTTTTCAGAAGTGTGTCTGTGTTGTTGCATTGCATACAATATTTTATAGTTTTATTTTCGCGTGCTCCTGAAATAAGATCCCAGTTGTTTAAAGGCTCGCCAAATTAATGATTTATTATTATAATTATACATACACAGAAGTGTGAAGGTGCACTATAGAAACAAAAACGTGTTTGTTTCAAGAAGTACAACTCGCTTTTGCCGTTTACGTTATTGAACAGGGCTAAAGTTCCCCCGTTTTAAACCAATCATCACGTGTACTCATTTGAAAACACGATAGCTACTTAGCCGGCATTGTGACTGGAAAGAAAATACAACAAATTGAAAAATTAGCTTTTCAATCAATGAGAAGGGTTACATACAATGCATTTGTTATATTAGGTATGTGAAATAAAGCGAGGCTTAATGAACAATATGTTTGATAGCCAATCTATAGTTCTCAGTGGATTAATACATGCATGTTAGAGCTTGGTCAGGGTGATAAAACGTGCATGTACTGCAGCGCTGATATTTCTTAATGAAATCACTCAATTTTTCGTTTCAATGAACCTTACCCCATTATGATAACGCTATCTTTAAATGCTATTGTATGAAGTTATCGCGTGCTGCTTCAGGAAGGTTCAAAAACCTTCCAGATGCTCGTACCTATAAAAATCCAGCGCATTTCCCGAACATCACAAGACTGCCTTCGAGGTCCCAGAAAAGGAGACAGAATCAAGCCGACAGGTCTTGGTCACCAGTTAGTTTTATACAGGTGAGGTTAACTTTTCGTATCCTTACTGTGTGGTCTACAAGATTTTATTGTAGAGATCAAGCCTGCAAACTTCTCTCTTGTATCCTCGAGTAATGTTCGGCTGTTAAAAAGATGGCAGTCACTGTGTAGTTATTCGGTATTCACCACTCGTTTATTTAACTGTTCATTTTTTTAGCGTAAAACAGAGAGAGAGAAAAATGAAGCCAGAAGGTTAACCAACCGCATATAGCAGAGGCACTTCGTTGCCTGTAGTAAGACCGTCCACTGTGTTGGTTACAAAAAGTGAATGACCTCAGTGTTGTATGCAAGTACAACATTGTGTTCTCTAATGTTGAAAATAAACGAAAGCGGTAGCCGGCAAGTTCTTTACAATATGTAGCCACAATAAATCAGTAAAGTGAGGATTTTAGAAAAAAAAGGAAACCATTTGACAAGTGTGCCGTGTCTCCTTCACCTGTTACAAGGCGTAACACGACGCTTTTTATTACAGATAACGAGCTATGAAGGCTTACGCTATCTTGGGTCTTCTAATTCTGGGCCATTTGTGCTGTAAGTACCGACACTGTGCTGAATCATATTCATTACACATGCTAACATCTTCGTTGCCTTTCACATACGCGGAGGCTGTACATTAGGAAGCTGACTGCAAGCAAGGTTCGAATTTCACTATGTCTCTGCAAACTCTAACGCTCATTCAGACGTGCTACTATACGACCCCTGAAGCTACCATTTGAGACGAACAATTGAAAAAAAAAAACTGTTATGGCTCCGCCCTAGTGGTGGCCAGCCTGAATGATGCTGATGCTGATGCTGATGACCTGTGATGGATGGCGCTTACCCACAAAGGGGGATGGGCCAAGAACCGGGCGGCAGGATACTTAAATGAAACTAAACTAAAAATGAAGCCAATCTGAAAAAGTAGCTTAAAATAATACTACCAAAAAAAAAAAACAAAAATGTGTGCTGAGCAAGCGGTCAAACCATCTTTTGTTTTTGAAAGACATTACTATGAATTATAAACTAAAGATCTGAAAAGGTAGTGGTTCACTAGCATGGTAATCTTTTAGTTGCGTTGATGTAGTCAAACACAGCGGAGCATACATCCCTGTGGCAGTAACCAAATGAAGCTCCGCCAAGTGATAAAATTACTGGTAAATTTACTTGTATTGCTAGCTTTTGTAATGGGGCTACTAAAAATCTTTTTCTCTGATTAGAATAACGATGACAGAATAAAAAGAAATGTTCAATTGTTTCAATTTCGTTGCACCAAATGCATAGCGGTGACGCCTTAAGCTGAGCTTTATTAAGGTAATAATTTAGTTGTGGAACTGCACCGCGCAATCTGGTATAAGTGACCTCTAACTGGCGAGATAAACACCACTGTTTATTCCAGCAATAGCTCAAATGCTCGAAATCTTTGAAGTTATCCAAATTACCTTTTCCCCATTGCAGGCAAGCATTTCAGAACCTTAGCGCGGTTACGTAAGCCGTATCTGGCAAAACTGGAATGGTGGGCCCACCCAGGGATACTGCTGCTAAAGAGTCCGCCATTTCGTTCAAATATAATCCGCGGTGGCCTGGTACCCATAGCAAATGCAGTTTTTTTACGTTTTTCGGTACTAAATGCCGAAACGTATTCATCAGCTCTGAATTTACTGCCGCAGAAAGTGCATGAATGATGGACAACTTTCTTCGTTCCTCTTCTTTCTCTGTCCTCCTTTTTTCTTTTATGTTCTGTATTCTAGTTTTTTTCTCTGTTTTCTCTCTTTAATTCTAATTCTTTCAGCCTTTCTTCATATTTTTTCTTTCTTCCTTGTTACATTGCTTCATCTTGCAACTTTTACGCGTAGTTTGCGCTGTCGTGTTCTCTTCGATGAAGCATATACGCACTTGATGTCCCCATCAAGGCGCTCGAAGAGCGAGAGGACGAAGACGTCTTTCTGGCGCGAGCGCTCACTCGTTATGCTTCAGTTGGCTAAACCACGTATGCTTCCGCCTGCGTTAATATCATCGTCAAGGCGCCGGAAGAGCACTTCTCTATGGCGAGAGTTAGCGATCAGCATGCACAACACCTGGCTATGCTATACGTGATTTCGCCTGCGTTATACGTCAAGCGACAATGACAGCATACGCCAGCCTCGCCCCCTTAGGTGCTCCGCACTTATTAGCGACCAGAGGCGGCCGACGTTCACACCTCGAGGCGGAAATGTTGTAGGCCCGTGTGCTCAGATTTGGGTGCACGTTGAAGAACCCCAGGTGGTCTAAACCTCCAGAGCCCTCCACTACGGCGTCTCTCATAATCATATGGTGGTTTTGGGACGTTAAACCCCACAAGTCAATCAACGTTCACACCTGCGTGTGACTTGTACTGGTCATTGCTCGTCTGCTGGCATTTCTATCGCACCGCAAAAAAAAAAAAAAAAATGGCAGTGGCTTAGCTCAGCTATGCCAGGATATACGTAGCGTTAGCAAAGGTTCAGCTGATTATTCTTAGCCTTCCAGATATCATGCTTACAGCTGTTCCAATGACACACACACACGGTATACGTATTATGTGGCACATGTATATTTATTTTGCCGGGCAACTGCTTCGGGATCCGGTGAGTTAAGTTTCTGCGCTCTACTGCAACGTTGAGCAGCATTTGCACTCTCCTTCTCCGTGGCTATACCACAGTGGCAAACGCCAGTCAGAGGCGCTATCAAGCGGCTCCAGCGCAGTGTCAGATGGCGACTGTGCAGGGAGGGCGCGCGCGTCGGCGTCCATATGTCTACCAAGGCTATGACGGCACTCCTCTGGAAAGCGCACACTGGGGGCGGCGGAGAGTCGCACGCGGCCGAGTGCGAGGGAGGTGCCGGCTCCGGTGCGTGACACCACTGATCGTCTGCGCAGCGCATCGAATTGCACGCACACCGGCAGCGAGCCGCGCGCGGTGGCGGCGGAGTATTATTGCGCATGCGCAGACCAGTGCCACGCGAAATTGGCTCAGCGAGGCCAGTGAAGCTTACGCTACAGAAGCTGACGCCCCATTTCCACGAATCTAATTGGTCCAGATGTCTGTGGCTGCTGTAGCGAGTATTGAGAAACTACGCGATGGAGTCGAAGTAGTCGCTTTGCAACTGAAGTGACCCCGTGCGACAGTTTGCGACCAGTCGCGTTGCGACTAAGTTGGTCGCGCGACCACTGCTAGTCGCAGTTGTGAATGAGCCCTAACGATATTCTAAATTAGCCTTATCGTCACCATCCATAAGAACATGATCGCACAATCTGTCAATACTTTCCGTACCTGAGATGTTACCTGGTTATTTTGGTATGTTTCTGAATCACATTGACTCTTCCGGAAAAACGAGTGATCGACGTTATAGGTGGCCCGATCTCTTTCCTTAATATTAACTTCCGTAAGGACTGTAATAGCATGCTGTGAAGAAGTACAGAGGACCCAGCGCTGGTCCTGTGTATATGTTCATCTCATGTCTTCTAATTTTTGCTCCGCTTTACAATGAGGGATTCCATAACATGAAATTCGTAAGGAAGAATAAAACGAGAGGTTAGATTAAAGACGCAAAAAAGGAATTTTTTTTGGCTATACAGTATAAGAGAAGAGCAAGAGAGAGAGAGAGAGAGAGAGAGAGAAAAGAGGAAGGCGGGGAGGCTAACTAAATGCTAGGTTCTGTCATGCTACCTTGCAAGGGGGAAGGGGAATAGGGGGTTGTGACATCAAGAAACTAGAATCCGTTCAAAAAAGAGCTGTGCGCTTTATATGCAAGAGATACGACAGAAATTTTTTCGGCGACAAATTTCCTTCCCTAGCTAGGCCTCACTACACACTTGCTCAGCGTCGCCATGTTGAATTCGTAAAATTTCTGCCCAATTTAATCAATTCTTCTCCATTGGGCACTTCAGAATCATTTTCCAGAACCTTGTCGATGAGAAGTGACCACGCCCTTAACGTTGCAACTTTTTTCACCCACACTGAAATGTTCAAGTACAGCTTTTTCTCTTCAACTATAGAAGCATGGAATATGCTGCCCGGAAGTGTTCGTTTCTACCACTTGAAGAATTTTCGGAAACTTGTCCACGAATGTTGACTTGTTCTTGTTGTTTCTTCCGCCACTCCTGCAATAGCCTCATTGAGGCTGCAGTATGTGAAAATAAATAAACAAAGAAATCATAAATAAGAGAAGTATACAGTGAAGCTTTCAGGAATTATTATTAATAACTTCTAATTACTCGGTGTGCATAGATATTTTATTACTGCCCTCTTTCTAATCTTTTCTTTGATTCCAAATGTTCGACTTTCTCGCAGCATGTCTTCACCGTTGTGCGCTCGAGGGTGTGCGTGCTCTTCGAAGAGTATAGAAAAGTTGTGGATTTCATCAGTGTGCCTTGAATAGACTCGATGACCGGCCATTTAATGAAGTAAAGATCTTAGGAGCCTGGTCGCGCCGCACATCAGCACAGAAAGCCACACGAGCCCTCCTGCGATACTCGTCAGCAACTTCATTGAGGGACTGCCTGTGAAACTCGGCATTGTGTGTGTGATGTGACATGTGTCTATCCCTCTCTTTCTCTTTTACTCCCCCTTTCCTTCCCCATGTGTAGGGTAGCAAACTGGACGCATATTCTAATTAACCTCCCTACCTTTCCTACATTCCTTCTCTCTCTCTCTCTCTTCATCGTTGTCTTATGAACAGAACGCGTTGAACACTATTGCTGGATCACGAAAAAAGACATTTCACAACCTCAGTTAAAAGGCACTGAAACTGGTTTTTTCGGTGCAATGGAATTACAGTGCATAAATTTCTTGAAATATTTTGCATTGCCGACCATTCCTTCAGCTTATAGTACGTCGTTATTGTATCAAAGCATAAAACACCTGTGCAGCTTCTCTAGCAAAATATGTCCTTATAATTACTTGCTTATTATATACTGTGCAAGTGTCCGCCTTGGTGAAACAGTGGCTGTGGTGCTCCGCTGCTCACCCAGAGGTCGTGGGTTCGATCCCGGTGGTCGCGTTTCGATGGAGGCGAAATGGCCCGTGTACGGTGCGAGGTCAGCGCGCGTTAAATAGCTTTAGATGGTCGAAACTTCCGGAGTGCTCCACTTTGGCGTCTCTCAGATTCATACTTATTTAAAGGTATGTTACAGGCCCCTAGAGGCATTGTGTAAGGGGGGTAACACGAGAAAGATTTAAAACGTGCATAGTATGCAAAAAGATAAAAAAAATATGAGGACAACAGGAAAAACGTAACTGTAACAAAAGTGAAAATGCATTATGTGATGTGATTGCGTTATGTGCTATACAAAAAAAAGAGGCAAGGAAAAAAGTACACTTTGAATTATGACAGCTCATTTACACAATAAAATTTGGCACAATAAAATACGAACAGTGTAATTACAGAACGGAGGCAATATAAGGAACGGAGGCCAATGCAATATTGTGGTTTTGGGACATAAAAAGCCAGATATTATTATTAATATATAACATGTACACATTTAACTGTGAGCCTGCCTGTCATGTTTTAATATTCTTCTCTAAATTCGCCGAACAGATATTCAAGCGGCCACGCAGAGCAAGCCAGCAACGAGCGCGGACGAAACCACGAAGTCGCTCACGGAGAAACTTTCCTGTTCCTTCCTGGAACACCGTGAAGAACTGCTGGAGGCTCTTCAGGGAATCGACAGCACAGGCGACAAAACTGACGAGCAGGTCCTTCCAGTCCTTCTTGTGCCCATAATCACGGCCATTGCTGAAGGCCTCATATCGGGAGCTGTCGGAGCCGGCGTGGGCATCGCAGTTAGCAAAGGCTGAATGCATCTCCCTGATCTCACAATAAATTCTTCCAAAGACTCAATTGCGAAGTAGTCTGTTCATTAAAACGATATACATGCCACGTTAATTCCTAAATTACGAAAACCCCGAACAAAATAGAAACGGTTTTAATTTTCCAGCTTTAAATAGTAGTAACCTTTAAATGAGTTTGCAGTTAAATTATCCAAATTTCAACTTTAATGCATATGAATGTCGCAAATTCTTGATATGGAACAGAAGCGATGACCTTGCAGCGAAAAAGCACTTCAGAACTACGTAGCAAGCCGTGCGCCACGTCCTGGGTGCGTACACACCGAATAAGCAAAATTATTGATGATAGAACTTACGTCACCCAGGAGAAAAAAAAAAAGAACGATGAAATGAGAACTGCTGCAGGCGCTCTCCGCCATCACCTACAAAACAATTGCTCTTAACATAAGATACCTTAGTCAAAACGGCGCTAGATTTTTCATAATGAAAGCTACGTTCGTCGTGAATACTTGACAGCAGGCATTAAAAGCGACACACATTTGTTGACTTGGTTGCTCGAAGTTTTCGGGGTGAAGCTCATTGGGTCATTCTCTTCTCTGTAGTAGTAGTAGTAGTAGTAGTAGTAGTAGTAGTAGTAGTAGTAGTAGTAGTAGTAGTAGTAGTAGTAGTAGTAGGTAGCCACCTCTATTTTATCTATTACTAAATAGATGGCGCTGTGTGTATATGTCCTTGGAAATAACATCATTACACAGCGTTGGTGGTTTTGGTATAGTTGACGGATGGATGGATGGATGGATGGATGGATGGACGGACGGACGGACGGACGGACGGACGGACAGACAGACAGACAGACAGACAGACAGACAGACAGACAGACAGACAGACAGACAGACAGACAGACAGACAGACAGACAGACAGACAGACAGACAGACAGACAGACAGACAGACAGACAGACAGACAGACAGACAGACAGACAGATAGATAGATAGATAGATAGATAGATAGATAGATAGATAGATAGATAGATAGATAGATAGATAGATAGATAGATAGATAGATAGATAGATAGATACACTCAAAGTGGCCAAAGCTCGCTAAAAAGTGCTTCGCATTTAAAAGGCACCTAATTTTTGTCAGCCATAGGGCAATTACGGCGCCGTACCTTTGTTAATTATTTTTTCACCCTTTTCTATGCATGCCCTTGTATGTCAGCATGCTTGCCACATTTATTTCACTTTGCTCAATAGAAACTCAAGCGGACGCGCTGACAGAACCAGCAATGAGTATCGACGAAGCGAGGAAGCTATTGGCCAAGAAACTTTCGCATTACATCCCGGAAAACTGTGAAGAGCTTAGCAAGGATCTCGAAGGAACCGACTGCACAGGCCGCGGAACCAGTGAGCAGTATCTGCCAGCCCCGCCCTTTCCCAGTAATTGCGACCTTTGTCAACCGGCAGCTGTCGGAGCTGGTGTGGAATTCCCGTTCAGCACGGATGAATATACGTTTCGCTATATTACCTTTGAAACAAAAACTCATGCGTTTTTTTTCCTGTTAGTCCTTTGTGGGGTAGTGGGACTTGGACGCCCCAACTTTCGTTATAGCTGTTCAAATTTTTAGATCAAGACCACTGAATAGATTGCTTTAAACTTTAAGTGCAACTCGGTTGATGTAGAAATGGTTTTGGCAGTTTTTTGTGGTATTTGCTACATGGCTGAATACACATGTTGTAAACAAACCATTTCGCTCACACATGCTATGTCCTTTTTTTTTTATCAGACTTTAGCGTAATCTCCACCAGACTCGGCAAATAACAGAAGCTTTAAAAGCCTATTTTATACTGCCGACGCCCTAAATGTGCTATTATAGCATTTATCATCGTTCCTACCCATACAGTTTACTCGAAATTTCAGCAATGCAGAATTGACCACTATTCAAGGATATCGTACTTTCCAAGTTTTCGTACTTTCTGTGTGGATGGAACTGCCTTACTAATACATGCGATGAATGAACTGCTTTACTTAACAAACTTCTTCGCCCTTTATTGTGTCAGTTTTGCAATTGCTGTTTTATTCATACCTGTATTATTTTATTTCTTACCCACGCTGCTTGCACCATGACTCTGCAGTATTGCATAAATAAATTATTTCCCAAAGCGTAGCCAGCTAGCATTGTGTACAGCTCATTGCAGTACCCAATTTTTATTCTTCTTCATGAAAGGAAGTGCCTTCGCGTGAAAGAAGCAGTTGAGGTAGCTCCAACTAAAAAAAAAAAAATGACTGTTGCAGGTATGCCGAGTACCCATATTTGCTGCTCAAGTGCCGTTATTGAGAGAGAGTGTACAATGGACATTTAGTTAACTTTCTTGTGATAGTGAGTATGTGTTTAGGCTTTCTTTTTTGTTGATTTTAGGGCAGCAGCATGATTGCATAAAAAATAAAATAAATTCTATTTTTCTGAAACGACTGTCTTTTGGCAAGCAGCGGCACATGTTCCACTTTTTACAGCGAAAGCTGTTATGAGATCCAAACACAGGTCTCGCGTGCCGCCATAATTGTCCGCCGCCACCGCTGGTGTCCGTAACCAGTATCGAAAAAAAAAACTAAGTCAGTAAAAAAACACCAATTACACAATTGGATGCGAACCTGGGGCTGCTGCGTGCCAGCCAAGTGTTCTAGCACTGAACCTCACCTGTACTTGGAACTCGATTCTAAACTGGCCTCAAGCAGGCTTGATGTCGAAAAAGGAATCACGTTAATATGAGTAATAAAGCGTTTTAGAATATCAATGAAACCAGATTTGGGTGCACGTTAAAGAACCCCAGGAGGTCGAAATTTCCGGAGCCCTCCACTACGGTGTCTCTAATAATCATTTGGTGGTTTTGGGACGTTAAACCCCACAAATCAAATCAAACCAGAATATCAATGAAACAGCCAAGGGTCACACAATGCGAATAGTGTAACGAGTGGGTCATCTAATGCTCCAACCCATTAGAAAACTTGTCACTCATACCATATTAACTGTCGTGCATACCCACTTCAAGCATAATTCTTCACAGTCGTCAGTCACTGAATAAACAATTGCACAGAATTCCTAACAAGTGTGTAGCGGGTACCACGCTTCTCCAAAGAATGACAAAGAATAGCATAGTCAATGCTGGTATACTGCACAAATGTTATGATTATTTATGACGTAGTTAGTACCCAGTATGTTCTTGTAGCAGTTACCTAGAGAGTGTTTAGAAAAGGCTCTGAAAGGCCACTCTTTTAGCTTTCTGTGTGACTGTGCTGCTGGTTCCATGCGCAGGCCTGGCGTTTTTTTTTCTCAATAACCCTTGGCAATAGAGCTCAAAATTCGTAAATCTTATAATAGGCTAATACAAACGTCAGTGCCAGCCCTCAACCACCGTCTCCGGCTGAACAGTACTTATCTAAACAATTTACAGTATCACTTCGGTCAAGTAGACTGTTCATACTGCAATAACTGTGGCTCCGTAGAAACTGTAAAACATATCTTGCTTTGTGCCGAGCATATGCCGATGAGCGTGCGCTCTATGAACACTGCATGCATCTGTTAACCCAAATAACTTTATCACTTGACTGTGTCCTGGGCCCTTTCCCCGGCTTCACGCAACAGAGGCAAGCGATGAAGCTTTTATTCACGTATTTGGACAATATTGGTCAGCTAGACAAACTGTAGGGGTGCCTTGAAAACTGAAGTCATGCTGTCAGCACACATCCCCTCCCAAGAGAGAGAAAAATGTCTGAATATTTACTTTTTTCTTTCCATTTTTAATTTCTAATATTTTCTCTCTCTCTCTCTCTCTTGCCTTTCAGCCCCCAATCCCCTTCTCCACGCAGAGTAGCTACTTAGCGACACGCACACGCCGGCTATATTCTCGGCTTTTCAATAAAGAGCCCCCCCCCCCTCCCTCAATAGTTGACGTGCATTGTTCATAACATAAGGCCCCATAACGGGTTGATACTATTGGAAGGCGAAATCATTTCTTCTCGGTCGATGTTACGGATAGAGCTTTCTACGAATACACTGGAGAGAACTCTGACACTAGCGCCTACAAGAACTTAAACGCATGGTGCTTCAGCCAGCATAGAAACGGTGGTTAATACATAGATTTGTCTAAGCTTCGGTCTTTCGGCTCTGCTTGGTCCCGTGTGGGCTGGAACCGCTTTGTAACGAGACAAATTTCAGGAAACGTTCAGCAGTTCCCCTTCATTACCCCAATTTTAACGGCTCACGAAGTTCACAACGATCCATTCTCTAATCCGAAACAAACGCCAGAACACAAGAATAAACGAAGCCACAAGTGTGTTCGAAGGCGCAAGTACAAAGATGAGCCAAATCCATCTGCTATCCATCATTTATATGGCATCTGAATGATCGTGCGCAGCAACGACACACATTTTTTGATGATTGATATGTGGGACTAACCGTCCCAAAACCACCATATGATTATGAGAGACGCCGTAGTGGAGGGCTACGGAAATTTTGACCACCTGGGGTTCTTTAACGTGCACCCAAATCTGAGCACACGGGCCTACAACGTTACCGCCTCCATCAAAAATGCAGCTGCCACAGCCGGGATTCAATCCCGCGACATGCGGGTCAGCACCCGAGTACCTTAGCAACTGGACCACCGTGGCGGGGCGACACACATTTTCTTGATCTGTGACACCATGCGGTGATGTATGTCGTAGCAATAACATAATCTTTGCATCCCTCGTGTTGACGCCAGCGACGCCGACGCCAACATCACATTCTCGTGTTTGATTAGACATCTAAGGCTATCGCCTTAATAGCATATATGCAAAGCTGAACAGTTGTAAACAGTGGTCCGGAAAACATGAACAGTGAAGTGAGGCGAGTAAAAAAGGCATCAAAGTGTGCGCACTATACAATGTGTACGGGAGCTTTGAGGTGAAGAATGAGATGGGTAGGAAAGACGGCCCTTCTCTCTGTATATACTTCTGAAAGAGAAAAAGAGTGCCTTATCGTATAAGCCTCACCACTCATTATCCTCTCGCATCATTTGTC